TATATATATATATATAAAAATGATTGCCGCTATTACTGCTTATTAGCTGCTATTCAATGACGAGAATAGTGGCACTTCAAAAGATCTATAAACCGGATACACACACACATACGTCTGTGTTCCGCTTTTAATCGATAATTCGTGTTTGATCGAAGATACGACATGAGTGTCGAGCGGTCGCCGACGAAGTCGTCGCCGAGGAGCGTGCATCAGCACCTGCTGCAGGACACGTTTCGGACAGAGGGCTTCTTCCCGCAAAGCGTGAACGATAACTCGGCACCGTTCCTCGAGGAAAATAATCCGGAGTCCTCGTTCGATTGCGTGGACGGTCGTCTTCTAAACGAGAGGCGATTCCGCGAGCGATACGGCGACGGCGTCGAGAGCAGATCCGGCCATTCAACGTCCTCAGACGAGGGTAGTAAGAGCTTCAACATCGAAGGCAGATGCCCACGCTTTGGCTCCAACTGTGAGAGTGAGCGGAAGTACCATGCCGGCTCATCGTCGAGCGACAGATCGACGAGCGACGACTATTGTCCTGGCAGGACGAAGAACATATACGCCAAGTTAAAGGGCGCTAAGCAGAAGCAGCTGGAAGATGACGAGCTCGATGCGGACACCCGGGTGTACGGCAAGAGTCCCAAGTTCGACGACAATATGAGCGGCTTCGCTTCGTTCGACTGCCGGAATCGCCGAGCCAAAATCGCCGCCGGCGGCGATCTGCTGACGCACGAGCAGCGCCGATACTATGACAGCGCTGACGACGACGTGTCCTTCAACGAGAGCGAGGCGGCGCGCAGCGACGGGGTCGTCTTCAACACGCTCGACGGTTTTGAGAACGAGAACGAACCGTCTTACCGTCAGGACATGAGTTTGGAGAGCCGCGAGACAGCGGCGGCTCACGAGGATAACCCGGAGGATCCTCGTAATCGGGCGCAGCAGCAGGACTATCTGCGCAAGAACGATGAGAGGAAGTTTAGCGCCGGTCAGATCAAGAGGCCGCTCTCTCAGGACGAGGATGTGTCCGCGAAGAGCGGAAGGGTGCTCGAGAGTCCGGAAGTGACGCCCGGCGATGTCGGCAGGATGCTGAATCTCGGTAACGCCTTGGACGGACCCAGGCAGGCGCAGGCCAACAAATACCTAAGCCTGGTGACGTTACATCTGCCGGTGATACTCAGGCTCAGCGTCAACTGTCCCTTTCAGAACGTCAGGATCAAGTGTGCGGAGATCCTTCAGATGGTCAAGGTAAGAGAAAATTATTCAATTTCTTTCGCAGACAGTTGTGGATTCTGATGATGCGTGCCAAATAATATACGTCCTTCGTGTTTAAATAAATCTACGTTAAATTAATTGGCAATCATTTCAAATTAGAATTCAGGGTTAAAGTTACTTTATATATATAATACTATATATATATTTTTTTAAATTTAAGCTTAACTGGCCTTTGTTTCTTATTAAAGTTACAGAGTCTTTCCCCCGAGATTACTTTAACTCTCTTAAATAGTTTCGAGAGAACATAGATTATATAATTATAGAAAGGCTTATTATTACACATTGATATAATTAAAAACAATTGCAGTGAGAAAATTGCGAATAAAAGTATCTCGCGAAAGAGGTGAGTGGATTGATCATGAATTGTGATAAAATTTGAGCAGTAATAGCGATAATATAATATATGCAAGAATTAATTCACAACATACAATAAACAGTTCTTTTTAATAAAATATATTTATTTCTTAAGTTAGAAAAAATGACACAAGTATAATAATATAATATAATATTTCTTGCAATCAGCTTATTAATTCTAAAAGTAGATTTGAGCAGTAATAGCGGTTTTGTGGAAAAACAAAAATAACAAATCTTCTTCCGCTTTTTTTATTTGTATGTATTATTTAATACGAGTATTATCTAATCCGTTTCAAATTATCTTATATATATATTGGGTTGAACGGAAAGAAAGTTCGTGCCGTTTTTTCGGTCTTCATCTCTTAGTAAAAAACGGAACGAACTTTCCGTTCAACCCAATAGTTCGTTCCATAGGTTTTCGAATAACCGTTAATCCGTTTCAAATTATCTTATATATTTTTTCGGTCTTCATCTCTTAGTAAAAAACGGAACGAACTTTCCGTTCAACCCAATAGTTCGTTCCATAGGTTTTCGAATAACCGTCAATAGCCGAAAAAACACTTGCCGATACATTTGAAATTGGTTATAAACTGGTTTATTTCAAAATCTATGGAGCAAACTACAATCACTTTGATCTCATTTGAAAGATAATTTAATACCGAACAAAAAGTTTCCTATAA